AAAGAGGAGAATCTGGAGAATCCATATTTGAAAAAATTTCCTCAATCGGATGTAAAATAGTCTCGTACTAGGCAAAACAAAGAGTGACAAAATTTCTCCGACAGAATTAGGGAAATCTACTATACCCTAACATCATTACGATCATTTTGTCATCACACTTGGTAGTTCTTTTACATTTTGAAAGAGTTTTTGCGGTTAGAAGTGTATTATCATTGTAGTTTTGGAGAAGAATAAGCATGAATCATCAAGTTTTCAATTAAGTAACGAGAAAAGTAAAAGAAAACTAGCACCTGATTTACTTAAAATACAGTAGTTGGTTTTATCTTGGTTGAATTGTTACTGTCACTGAACCTCTATAACATGTTTCAACGTGGCAAGAGAAAATTTTAGGCTTTTACGTTGTTGATCGTTAGACTTTCATCAGTCTTGAACACATTTCTTGACTTTTAGGTTTCATTTGTCACAGATAACACAGAGGAAATCCAAAGCAGTGTTTAGACATTCTCAATAAGTCATATTAGGAAACTATTCTTTCCGATTGAAGAGGCCTATCGAACTGCTTTTATTGTATGTTGAGGACCAAAATTTACATTTGGAAAACTGACATCTAAATGAATGAAAGTTAATCACTGATAGGACTATAATGTTATGAGAGTAAACTTTCAAGGAAATTATTGCCATAAAATGCAACTAGACTGCTTTAACTGCTATAAATATGTTGTAAGTTTAAGATCGTTTAATTGTTGTAGCTAAATGAATGGTTGTTTACAAAAGCTTCAAGAACTGCTTGACAAATAGAGAATGTAGGTTGATGAGAATCTGTGCATCGGATACTTATCCACGGCCTAAACATGAATCCCACATAATTATGAGGGCCGACAAAGTAGAAAAGATAAAATTCACATGTTTAACCTAAAAAAATGAGCGATAATATGCCGAAGTATTTGATTCATCTATGAGTCTGCTGATGATTTTATCCATTTTACAGGGTCTCCAATTCATCATATAAGTCTAATGCAGTAAAGCCTTATTATTGACGTATAAAGAGTACTGTGATGTAGATAGAACCAGCAATATCAGGAAAGATTTTGGATTGGGATAATAAAAAATGTCCATCGGTACTTTTGATGAGCTGTTTGGAGCATGCAGAATATAATGAAGAATATTTCTTATGTTCTGTTTTATTGTACGATTTTCTCTGAAAAATATCGAAAAATAATATAAGTTCAATTGGACTATTCTCGAAAGACAATTCATTTTTCGCTCTTGTTTTCGTTTTATGACCTTTTAGAAACAACTACGATTATTCCAACTATTATAGCAGCTGCTCAGAAAGTAGAAGATGTTTGTGCATTCATCATGAGACCATGTATTTGGCGTTGTAATCGTGGAATTGAAGTTTATCGTTCAGTGGCCAACAGCAATCATTCAAAACTAATGTGTCCTTGTCCCCCAGCTTACTATGGGAAGTTCTGCCAATATCAAAATCAACGTGTTAGTCTTACCGTACAAATAAAAGTATCATTCGAATAGCGGATAGTTTTTGCTCTTTTTATTACTTTACGTAATAATCAACAAGATTCGATAGAATCACATGACCAAATACAATATTTGCCTGCTCGTGATTGCAACAAAAAATTTAACATCTATCTTCTGTACAAAGCTAGACCTAAGATAATGTCAGTAAATTATAGTGTACGCTTCTATATCTACGATAAAAATACGTTAGAGTATCGTGCTAGTTGGTCATTTCCTATGCAGTTTCCATTTTTACCAGTACATCGTCTGGCTTTTCAATTGCATGTTCCAACAAAGAGTATTGTCATAGAAGAATGTCAAGACCTTCAATGTGGTGTGCATGGCCATTGTTCACGGTATATGAACACGAACATTTCATTCTGTTATTGTGACGAAGGCTGGTCCGGTAAATTGTGCGATATTCAACACAAATGTGACTGCGCATCAGGTTCAATTTGCCTTCCTTCATTTGCCTGTTTATGTCCATTAGAAAAGTTTGGACCTCGATGTTATGTAAAACATCAGGAATGTCCTTGCAAGAATGGTGGAGTTTGTGTACCAGATGATGAACGATCGATTAATTATAGAGGAGTTTTCTGTATTTGTGCAGACGGTTATGCTGGTCCTACTTGTGAAATACTTAACACAAAAATAGAAGTTTACTTTGCAAGAGAAATGGCAATACCACTATATATACTAGTGCACTTCATTCAAGTATTTGGCAAGCAAGCACCTCCCAAACAAGCAACTATTTTTAAGCAAGTTCGACTCGATGAAGACAAAGCAACACTCCATAGAACTATCCCGTTCCACCTTGGTTTTGTTGAAACAAACTCAAAAACTTACTATCTCAGTTATCTGCAACAAAATTATGTACCATCAAGCATGCTTTTATGGACTGTCTCATTCTCGGATCATTGTTCGCCAATCGTTGAACTTTTCAATCAAACTATTGTTTCAATGCATATTCTTCGTCGAATGAAATACTATCATATTCCTTGTCGAGAACGAAAGAATCTTGCGTGTTTTTATGATGAACGTCACATGTGTATTTGTGATCGTGATCGTCGTCAAGCAAACTGTCTCGAATTCTATCACAATTCAACTTACAACTGTGAAGGACGAATCATATGTGAGAACGGAGGTCAATGCTATATCGATGACTCCAAATGTCCAACTTCATTCATGTGTGTTTGTACACCATGTTCATATGGATCACGATGCCAATTTTTACGAACAAGATTCGATCTCTCACTTGATGCTATTCTTGGCTATCAGATTCGACCAAAGAAATCATTGATAGAGCAACGCTTTGCCATCAAAATGACTATTGGGATCGTTAATTTCATGTTCGTATGTAGTCTTGTCAGTGGAATATTATCCATTCTAACGTTTCAAACGAGAAAGGCACGAGAAGCAGGTTGTGGTTACTATCTTTTAATATCATCATATGTTTCAATCTTACTTATGGTTATATCTGTAATCAAAGTATCTCTTGCTATCACATCACATATGGCTCTGATAACAAATCATGCTTTCCTATCATTAACTTGTATATTAATTGAATTTCTCATAAAAATATTTTCCAATTATGGTGATTGGCTCAATACATGCGTGTCAATTGAACGAGCTGTTACTGTCATGAAAGAAAATACATTTAATCAAAATAAATCAAAGCAAGTTGCTAAATATATGATTGTCGTTGTTTTTCTATTGGTCATTGTAACACACTTACAAGATCCCATTCATCGGCAGTTAATCGATGATGAAAAAGAAGATAGACAATGGTGTGTGGTCCAATACAATTCGTTTCTCAAAACTTATAATTCAACTATACTATTTATTCATTTTCTCGGTCCATTTACAGTCCATATTATTTCAGCTCTTCTCATCATCAGCAAAGTTGCTCGACATCGCGCTGCTGTCAAAAAGCATCAAACCTATATTCAACATCTTCACATTCAGGCTAATCAATTCAAACATTTATTGATCAGTCCATTTATTCTCGTTGGTTTAGGTTCACCTCGAGTAGTTATATCATTTTTATCTGATTGCATGAAATCATCGAGAAATCCTTGATTATTTCTTATTGGTTATTGTATTTCTTTTGTTCCGTCAATGTTGATTTTCTTTATATTTGCGCTTACTTCTGATACTTACAAGACCGAGCTGAAAAGTACACTGAAACGCATACAGCATCGAATGTGCAATCACTAGAGACTTATTTGATCTGCTTCGCTTGATGTCGTCAGTGTTATACAATAAATCACATAAAAAGCTTAAGTTCATAGGCTTTTCGATTTCGAATTCAAATCTGCACAAAGAAATGACCCTTGATTTGTTTAGAACATAAAGGTTCAGTTGGTCTAAGCAGAATAGATCTCAACTATATTTCTAACTAATGACACCTTTTTTAATTTGTAGGAAGTTTTGAGTAAACGATCAGGACTCATCAACTTCCTAATGCTCGACTGGTTACATTTTCGAACAGAGTATCTCATATCAGTTCCTACTACTTCATTGTGTTATGCATTTTTCCACACCTTTTTGCCTAATGGATAGTTTAGAGGATCTTTCAAGTCATTCTCATGCGTATGAAAGAAGAGTGGGTGTGGGTGTATATTATTCCAAACGAAATACACCGAGACCCACACCCACACAATATTACATCTCACCATCATAATTCTCTTTGATTTAAGCAAAAAAAGACTTCGAAAACATGAGAAAAACATTCTCTGCATGAAAGTGATTCTACAAAGAACATGTCATAAGATGAATATGTATACACGTATCATAAAAAAGCATGTGCACAGTAGTCAGTCTCTTCATTAGTTACTTTTCTGGAAAAATGATCCAAATATAAATGTATTATTTCACTCATTCAATTTGCAGTATCTTCTGTTTGTTTATGCACATGTGGTGTCAATCTTGGCACATGAAGATTTTTTATCGAACAATAAGTAAAGTTTTTATTTTTTTGTTTCATTCTTCACCTATGGAAGTAACACATGTTGTTTTTACCTATGCTTGTTTCACCATTCTTTCTTCTTTGTGTATTTCGTCAGGTGAAGCTTACACGTAACAGATGAAGATAAAAGCAAACTAAATCACGTCTCTTATTCGTTCTAACAGATAAAAACAAGAGTGACATATGTATCCGCATGTTTCAACAACCTGATATTGTCGTTAACATATTAGTATTGAAGAAGTAATATCTGCTTTCTTTTTTAATTGAATTTGAAGGCTAATGTTTTTGTTTCTAGTTTTCTAAGTAGTTATTCTTGGAAAATGCAAGTTTTCATCAAAATTGATAATGAGAAACTTGATCGATAATACTCCTTTCTTGATTTATTTCTCATATGACACTTGAATTTCCTTCTATTCATGAGAGAAAACTTCCTTGTAAAATCGAAATTGTTTAGCCAAAAGTAAAACTAAGAAATACCATCACTCTTAACCGAGTTACAGGTTCATTTGTTCGTTTGGCGATAGAAGATGCAGTTGGAGCGAGCGTTGAGTTTCGTCCTCGCCAGTATCTCGTCGTCCATCCTGTTACCGACATGATGGTTGGAGGTACATGGGGTTTACAAGCAGGTCAATGGACAGATGACACTTCAATGGCTCTATGCCTTGCTTCATCACTTATCACTCAAAGAGGCTTTAATCCTTATGATCAAATTATTCGTTACAAATGGTAGTATAGAGATGAGTATTTATATTCGACAGGATCATGTTTTGACATTGATAATACAATACGTAAATCATTGGAAGAATTTGGTCATCGCCAGATGCGTCTTAAGAGAGAATTGAACTGTGGAACTGAATCTGAGGTTGATGAAGGATGTGGGTGTTGGTGTGTGGGTGTGGGTGTGGATGGGCGGGTGAGTGAGTGTACCTTTGTGTTTGATGAAGAAAAGACACCCACACCCACACCCACACCCACACCCACACCGACACCCACACCCACACCCACACCCATACCCACACCCACACCCTTTTCTGGATTTTATAATTTCTAAGGAGTTCTTAGGCGCTGAAAATGCTAGAGCAGAAGATAAAGTTGCCGGTCATCCCTATATGCCCGATTTCAAGACATCAGTATATCTTCAAAGTGTTTGAATCCCCTTAACTCATTTTAAAAGATGATCAAGAGAAAATGAGGAAAAAATTACAAAACTATTTGACCTTAGCCTAAACCTAAGCGTACGCCAAAAAACCGCTTGAACAATACCTTTCATAAGTATAATGATTGCCTTACTTTCTCATCATTCTCACCCTCATTCTCATATTCTGAAAAACGTTCTTTAATTTATTATTAAATTTACAAAAAACATTCATTTTAATTTATTTAGAGGATAAGAAATATTTAATCAATCTTATTGATACTTAGAGACTTACTTATTTTTCATCAGAAGTTTCTACTGTAGTTCATCTATGTAATGGTACAATTATTCTTATTGATATTGTCAAAGGAATTTGTCTTCAAGTATAGAAGAATTTATTTACACTCTAAAAAATCAAGACGTTGAAGCGTCTTAGTAAGACGGTCGACCTAACGCTGATTGATTGATTCACTTCTAATTTAGACGGTTCAAGCGTCAACGAATGACCAATTTTAGACACTGGTGCGTCTTATTCGTTTCTGAGTGGATGATTTGCACCAATGAATGAAGTTTCTAAAAAAATGAGACGCACCAGTGTCTAAATAAATTGAAACGTCTCAAGAATAAAACATATCAGACGTCTAACATGCATCTAAATTAGACGTTAGACGAATGCACCGTCTTGTAAGACGCATAGCATTTTTTAGAGTGTAATGAAGACATCTAGAAAGTATATTGAAATTTACTTCGTGAAGACAAAAGTTCAGTGACCTTTTTAATTTCGATAATAGTAGCTTTAAAAGAAAATACCGAGGTTTGACTTTATAACCGATTGTGAAAAAAAGAAGTTTCTTGTGGGATGATTTTTCGTATTGCAATATTCGTATGCGGTCATTGAATTAGAGATATAATAGTTGAACGTTTGAGTAGCCTATTTGAACACTCTACCCAAATGGTAGGAATGTACGCACATACCTAGCATGTATAAATATTTTCAAGATACTGTAATCTCGCTGGCACATTAACAAATAAAAAAAAAATTATGAAAAGTGGCGATGCCATTTAGAAAAAAATGTAGTCAACCAGTTTTTATGCCGTGACATTTTCGTGTCCTTTTCTGTTGAAGTAAGAATGTTCTCATTGATGGCATGCAAACGAAAACGTTGGTTGGGTCCACCGTGAAAGCCATACAACTGAACTTGTGCTCCATTCTGTCCAGCATGACCATAAGGATCATTGTGAACATCGAGCACTTTGTTTCGGCTTGTCGGTCGCTGATGCGTAGGCCAAATATAATACTCGCTATGATTGTGATTAGCACGCTCGAATATCAATTTCTGATCTACATGAGAATCGAGTACGAGCGGTGCTTCATGATTCAGTGATTGTTGGTGAATACAGAGAATTCTGCTTGATTTATAGTGTCGCAGACGATATTCACGATACCGAACGTGTTCCAGACGAAAGAGACGCTGCTCGAGAGGTTCTGCATTGCCGACAAAAATTCGATTATCTTGCTCTTGAGCTATTAGAAATTTGTGTCCGAAGACGTTTTCGATTTGATAGAGCCCATCGACCATTTCTGCACTCCGCTCGTGCCATCCGAGCATAGCTATATTGTACGCTTCGCTATGTGTTAAATTCAATGTTAGATGACGATAGGTAAATGCTGATTGTATGTGTGATTGCGAATGGAGAAGCTTCGCGACGTCTGGAAACAATCGTCTCTAGTTGAAGAATACGTAATATTAACACTTCTACTATGATTTAATATGAGACTCGGAAAAAAATAATTTCAAATCTAGGGACGTTCTATCGTTGAATGAATAGAGATCGATGTGAAGCTACCTCGAACACCAATCAGAAAACAGATATAAAAATCCAATGAAAGTCATTCCACACTTCATTCAGTAGAATCTCAAACTGTTGTAAGCGATGAAATGGACTTCTCATAATCTTCAAAAATTCTGCACATGTAAAAGAATCACTTTAAAAAAATCCGACACCATGAGTATGAGCTATTCCTCTTAAATCATCTCTGGATTAGTTTACCAGGTATTGAACCGTACATCAGTCGATACAGAAATTCATTATATAATGTTCAGTGCCTGCATGTCAGTCTGTAAAAGGTAAGGCTGTAAAGGTATAAGGCTACGAGGGTATAGTGTCTGATTGTCTGTTACCAGTTCAAGGTTAAAATACAAATGTGAAACTTTACAGGAAAAAAACAGTCATGCAATATGCACGGAATCTCGCTAGTATATTAATAATCATATTTTTAGACTGTTGGTAAGCATTATATGTTTATCAGAACGTGCAACACATATCAATTGATGCAGAATCATCTGATCTATGGATTAAATACGTGGTTCTCTCTTATCAGACGATTTATGATGATGAAAAATCACGAAAACTGACAAAACTCTTCAAAATCCTATACTGTAACTTCCTAAATCATTACTGCTCCAACCCATTCGTTGGTCGCAACTTCAAAATCATATCAAGCGACGTACAAGCGTTGGGGTTATGTATTGAACACAGATTCTCTTTCGGAAAACGATCTGTATGGGTGAAAAAACGAAAAAACCAGCAAAAACCCGATGGACTGCTATAGTATAGCTTCCTTGACCGTTTGTTGTTCCTGTCCATTTGTTTTCAGGAAAGACGAACCTCTTTAATCGATGGCTCAAATGATTAATTGTGCATTGATTAATGTGTGTTTCATGCACCAGCTAACATCTGGATAAATAGCGATGCTGATGTTACGAATACTTGACAGTTTAAAAATATGATTATAAGAGCCAGTCCATATAAGCCACCACCTACTGCCATAGGAGGCTGTTCAATCATAGTCTTAGATTTGTGTGATATCTATTTTATTTTGTAGAGTATATTTTTTTAGGTTGAGAACCAACTTTTTAATCCTCATTAAAGATCTTTTTGTGGAGTTCCATTGACTTTTCGAACAATTTTTTG